TATATATATATATATATATATATATATATATATATAAAGAAAAGATCATGTCAGCTACAGTAAACGCCCACGGCCCAGATTGAATTTGGGCCGATCTGATGGTCATGATCTCATTTCGTATTTGAACTTTCAATTTTTTTCTACAAATCCAAATCATTTGAAATTTGGAGCGTCTATTCTTCAAAAATAGTAGAATCTAATAAAAATATAAAAAAAATAATTTGTAAAATATAATATGACTAGAATACCCCCGAAATGGAAAAACCCTTGCTTTTAATCACATATCCATATTAAGGACCTTGAAGAGTAATGTGGGGAGAGGGGCAAGGCTATAAGAAAAACTATATGAGGTTTCAAAACATCATGTGGCTGCCAAGGGCCACTACTATAAACAAAGGGCTTGTTGCTGCCCATAGAAGGCTGGCCAGCCCTCTTTTTATAAAAATAATATAAATTTAAAATAAATAAATAAAAAATTAAAAGATTAGGGAATTGAGCTATTTAGCTACATTGACTCACCTATTCTTTTAGGGATTGTCCAATAAATAAATAAATAAATTAAAAGATTAGGGAATTGAGCTATTTAGCTACACTGACTCACCTCTTTCAGGGATTATCCGATTCCCCAAATATTTAGGTAATCCAAGGCCGATCCAGATCGAATGACTCTGATTCGGATTGACATTTTCTAAAACCTTGTAACATGCACAAATGGAATATACAACTAGATGAACTAGTTGTTTCACAAGAACAAGAGGCAATAGTTCTTGGTAGACTAGTGAAAACCAGGTAAAAAACTCATTTAAGAAGCACTGATTTCAGGTTAGATGTTCCTAAAGCTTATAAAAATTGGGTAGAGCTTTCTAGATTTTAGTTTTAAAAAACTGGATTGGGAATTATAGTGCGTGGACAGTTAGTTGTTGTTTACGACTACACTAGTACAACTGGCACAATAACAAAAACATGTGCCCATGGATGATTTCATCTTGTCTAGATTACCACTCGAGAGTCTAACTATGCAACTTTGATGAAAGCCAAGGCTTAAAAAAAAGCCGATCTGAATTGGAATCGCCATTCCAAAAGAACCGGCCAGTTCTCTGACTGTCAAGCAACTGGGCCGCTATGTAGGCAGCAACAAGTTTCTAGTAGTGGTCCACCCCTCTCCTTGGGCAGCCACATAACGTTCCAATCTTCAAACCCCATGCAGCTTTTATTGTCCCCCCACCCCAAACTCCAGCCCCACAAAAAAACAAAAACATTACTCTTCCAAGGTCCCCCGATATAAGATTAAAAGCAAAGATAATGAAAATTCATAATGCATTACCTCATTATAAATAACGATTTTCAGTATTTTTTGACATTTTTTAAGGTCGCGTCGGGCAGATCCAGCTGATCCACTGATCCAAATCGCAAATCAGCCAACCTGAATCAGTTTTCCAGATGGCTGATCCAGGTCACTGATCCATCTCTTCAAACAGTGTAAAAAGCAATGCACAAGCATTTGGAGTCAAATGAGAGAGAATAGGGCAAACTGGCAAACTATGGTAGGAACGAGGAGCCATTGAACGATCCATACGAGACACTACCAAAATAGAAGAGTTTCAAAACCGGATCAGTGGGACAAAATCATTCACCCACAGATTCATGTCAAATCATTGGATCAGCGATCCAGATGGGGTCTAGATCGGTCCAAATCCATTAGACAAGCTTACAAAAAAAAAAAAAGTTTGAGGGGGTTGTTGGAGGGAACTAGTGCAGGACCCATACCATACTGGAACTGGTTCAATCCCAACCGATTTCCATCCGGATCGGAAATCGCCAGATATTAAAACACTGCCACAAAAAGGCTGCAGTACCATACCTACATTCCATGGGGAGGCATAAGTCATTGGACCAAAATTTCATGCATGGCTGGCATACATATGAACTTCATACCATGGGTTGCTTCTAACTCAGTAGAGGCCGACCAGATTGTAACATCCCATACATCATGAATCCTTGATTAAATGAGATCGTAAATCAATGTCTTTGTGATGGTTACTACCTATCTTATATATTACATTTTTCTTGTAGCAAACCTGCACCAACCATTTCTCACATCAAGCTAGCTTGTGCTTTCATGTCCTTATAATATGCACTATTATGTGACGTTTTATTTATATAATTTTACCACTCCACTGGGACCATTAAAAACAGAGTTATTACAGGGTATGGTTAAAAGAGTAACTAATAAGGAATACTATGCCTTAACTTTGGCAGCCAGAAAAAGTGGATGGTCATAATAAAACAAAAAGGAAATAGCAAAAGAAGTAGGAGAAAGAGTGACATGAACGGCGAGAACATACCTGGCACTGCAAGCGGGTCTTCACAACGTCGAGCGGTGTGGTGACAGCACCCGCCAGCGCACCTGCAGCACCCCCAGCAGCGATGTGCACAAGAACCCTCTCCTCGCTGGCGTTCTCTGGAGATATCCCCCCAAGCACCTTTTTGACTGCCTCATATGTTGCAAAGTGTACAGCTGTGAATGGTGCATTCATGACAACAGTTGTTCGATAGGAAGTGTAAAATGCGCGCAAGCCCTCATCCCTGAGCATTCGAACCACACAGTCCCTGACCCCAGAGTATGGGGTGTTCGGCAGTTGGAGGCGCTGCTTCACAACATCCATGGGGGTAAGGACAGCATCACTGGCAATGGTAGCGAGCACTCCAGAGGCCGCATGGGCCAGGGGGTGGTGGCCAGGGCGGTTTCCGCCAAGCCGCTCCTTGCTCAACTCATACACTGAGAAGTACACAGCATGGGCAGGGCCAGCGCCAAGCCCCATGGCACCGATGCCACGATAGAGGCCAAGGGGTCCCTCAGAGCGGAGGATGGAGACGAGGGCATGACCAACAGCGTGGTGAGTGGAGGCAGCGGCAGGGCAGGCTGGGGAGCAACCGGGCATCTGCATGCGGGTCTTAATGGTGTCAACAGGGAACATAGCCATGTGTTCGACCATGCCAGCCACTGAGCCTGCTACCATGAACTGCCAGAAGGTGAGCCCCTCATCATTGGTGTGGGTGAGGGGATCTGTTGCAAAGGGCTGATGGGCATCCTGTGGCTGATGGGCCACCTGTGGGGCGGCTAGGAGCTCTGCCGGGGGGCCCGTCATGCTGATATTCTGAAATCTGCCCAATAGGAGAAGAAATAAGTCTCAATACAGACAAATTAACATACCTTCACATAACAAATATAGATAATTGGAAAATGCTGCTTATTCATCAACATTAGATACACCACGGAAGGTTCCAAATAGTAGCAATGCATCAATTAAAAAGTGTAGCAGAAGAACAGAAACAAACCCTCTCATATATCTATCTCTATTTGAGAATGAACACCAATTTGTTGTTCTACCCACCTCAAAACCCACATTTGAGGCATGGAGGTGACCCAAATATTTTAGAACAGTTTTCTCTGAAAATTAATTGCATTTGGAGTTCCAAAAATGCTTCAAATCTATGGTCACTCGAAATGTAACTCCAAATGCTCCAAATCTATGGTCACTCGAACTCCAATCTAGACCGTCTATTTCAAACTGTGATCGATCAGGAGTTTTGCATGGCTTTCACATTTCTCCGAGTCCGATCAAATTTGAAGAAGATTCATTTTGAGGGGTTTGGAATTTTTAGGATCTCCCCACAACCTAAAATGTTTTTTTAGATGGGTGGAATAAGTGCTTGATATTACAGGTGTAGCATGCTATCAATTGCCTCTTTACCAATATAATTATAGACAGATGTATAAAAAAAATGTGCGATTAAAAGGGAGAAAATCTGATGTTGTCTTTGAAGTGTGAGAGGCTGTAGATAATCGATCTCCATGCCCCTGAGGGTTGACTGCTCATCTGAAAAGGTCGTAGGCAGTCGGAAAGATGAAGATGGTATTTGTGGAGGAAAGACTTCTTTCCACAGATGGTTCTCTTGAGCAGCAAAGCGCAACCACCACTTGCCGAGAAATTGTTTGTTTTGAGACTGCGAATGCCCAATCCTCCGAATTTCTTAGGTAGGCAAACCCTGTCCCAGGCAATGAGGTGATATTGCATACTGCTTCCTTCACTTGACCATAAGAAGTTACACATGAGTTGCTCCAATCGGTTGGCCACCTTGGATGGTACATGGAACAAAGTCATTTGGAAGATTGGGATGCTGGACACTGTTGCTTTGATGAGGTTTATTCTACCCTCCGATGAAAGGAACCTACCTTTGCATCCGATCAGCCTCCTATCGAATCTATCTATAATGTGGCTCCATTGACGCGCTTTGGCCTTACTGATGCAGAAGGGCAGACCTAAATTAATGGAAAGTAAGGTATTGAACTCAAATCCCCGTCGACTAGCAAGGTTGTTGATAGGTTGGGTATCGGCAGACACCCCAATCATTTTTGTTTTCAACATAATTAGTCGATAACCAGTAGCCATCTCGAAACATTTGTTGAACAGGATTAAAGTTTCAACGTGCTGCTGGTTTGCTGCACAGAAAAGAAGGGTGTCATCCACATGCTACAGATGCGAAATGACTGGACCCCTGTTCCGAATTTTGAAGCCTTCAATTAGACTGTGCCTATACAATCTGGCTATGGACCGTGTGAAGACTTAGCCCACCACGGTGAAGAGGAATGGAGACAAGGGATCTCCTTGTTTGAGTCTCCTGGAGGAGGAAAAAAAACCTTTTGTTGTTCCGTTGATGAGGACCAAGAAATGGGGAGTGGAGATGCAACCTTTGACCCACTTCATTGAGCCCCAAAGCCCATTCTCCTAAAGGTCTCGTTAAGGATATCCCAAGCAACAAGATCATAGGCTTTCTCCCAATCCAGCTTGATTACACAGTATTTTGGAAATATGTCTCGAGTGTATACACTGGTGGGCTAGCAGAGCCCCATCTAGAATTTGGCGGTATTTGACAAAGGTCCCTTTGTGAGGGGATGACCCAGCCAAGAACCTCTCTAATTCTTGAGGCTAGAACTTTGGAGAGGATCTTACATGAGCTATTTATAAAGTTTATAGGCTGGAAGTCCTTGATTTCTTTGGCCCCTTCAATTTTAGGAATGAGTGCAATGAAAGTTGCATTCATCTCTTTTTTGGATGATGCCTGTTGCATGAAATTCTTCAAAAAGCGAGAATATCGAGTCGAAGCGACTCCCAAAAGCTTTTGAATATGGCAACCGGAAAGCCATTGGGGCCAGACGCACGGTCCTGGCCGAGCTATTTTATGGCCTTGAAGATTTCTTCTTCATCGAAAGGGCACTCCCGCCATATTGTTCTATCTAGGGGACTCGCCAGGAAACAAAGATTTCCCATTTTAAGTGACTTTATGGTAGTTTTGGAATATTGTCAGGGAGATTGTCAGAAATATTTGGGTAGATTTTGCGGTTTAACAAGTAGGCTTTAGAGAGAGAGAGAGAGAGAGGAG